CTGGCCACCCCTCTCCGGAGCTGTCCCCGACTCCTTTTCTGTTCAGCTTCCCTCCCCACCTGCTGCTCACCGAGTCCGTCCAGCACTCTCTCTGCACCTGCCACCACACGGCCTCCACCCTGTCGGCGTCATCGGTCCCCTCACCTGCCACGGGCGGGATGTGGCAATGCCTCAGTTGTCACATGTGAGTACGTGGTGCTTTCCCTTTATTTCCCCCACTATCTAGTTACTCTCAGGGATGACTTGGCAGCATTAGGGTTTGATTTCACTCAGGATGTTGTGTAATGAGACAAAAGTCGAGTTAACTCTTGTGTGAGATTACAGTGACACTTCTGTTAGCAAAGCAGTGTCCCAAGAAGACACTCCGGACTCAGGTGGTTCGTTACCTGATGGAAGGGAGCCCGAGGCCCAGCTGCGGCTGCCGCCTGCGGTCCCTCCCTGCCGCTGTTCTGAGAGGCCGAGGGGGACAGGGTGAGGCCTCAGGCCCCCGCCTCCCCGTCATTCCGAGTTAAGTGGTGAGTCAGCAGTGGCTCAAGCAGGACTCTGCATGTGAAGGGTGTGCGTGAGGGGGCTTTCTGGTTTTGAGACGTCACTCAGGAAATTCGGGGTTTCCACCTCTGCCTTGGGAATGGGCTGATTGTTTTTAAAGTGCTATAAACCTTTCCTCCACTCAGTGCTGGCTGCCCTGGAGAAAACCGGCCCCAGAGGACCCGGCAGCGGCCGCCTGAGCCTGTCAGCCGCTGCCTCGGGGCTGCAGACCCAGAGCGTCGGCCCTATGGCCCGTGCAAGGAAGGGATCGGAGCTAGACGCCGGAGGACGGCAGCGTTGCCCAGGGGCCGGTGCGAGGGGCCCTCGGTCCCTCGAGACTGCCAACCTGCCAAAGCCCTGGCTGTTCAGAGCCTGCGAGCCAGCCGGGCTCCCAGGAAGCGTGGCTACAGTGCCCTTCCCGAGCACTAAGGATGTCCCGGCGTTCAGAACCTTCTCCCTTTCTCTGGAGAATTCGTTCTACACTCCCCTCTGGGAAACGAAATTTCCCAAGGGGACCTCGGGTCAGTCATGCTGCGCAAGAACCCCCAGTGCCCCAGTGGTGTGTGTGTGGGGGGGGTGCTTCCGTTGGAGCTGCCCAGCGGTCTGCCTCTAACTGCTCTCAGGCTCCGTCTCCCTTAACCCGGTGCTTAAACAAGCAGGGAACCTGGATAGTTTCCAGGGGGGGTCAACAGGTGTCATGAGAAAGAAAACAGAAGCACAGGCAGTTTCCCGCGGACCATCCACCTGGGGCATTCCGTGGGCTATGCCTCTCCAGGCCTGCCCCGTTCGTTAGTCTCATAAAGGTGCTGATAAGTTCTACACTTCTCTTTTGAATTTAAAAAACTTATCCCAGTGTTTTCCAAACTGCTTTGATGGGAGAACCACCCCACCTTCCTTTTTGTCGAGCAGCACCTCACCCGGTTAGTCATCCAGGGGAAGCACTTTGGGGAAATGTCTCTGAAAAGGGCGCAGAAGGGAGCATGTGCTTCACAATCTTTGTATCCCCTCCCAGCCACTGACTTTGCACCGGAACCGGCATTTGGCGGAGAGGAAGCCTGGCGGGCCGGACGCTGACCTCCAGAGCCCACACTGGGCCCACAGCCTCCGGGTCTCCGTGGAGTCTCAGTGCAGGCGGTTGGCGCGGGGCAGGGGGTGGCGGGTGGGAGGGACGGCGCCTGGCTCTGTCCTGAGCATCGTCTGCCGGGGGCCCGGCAGCCACTCCGAAGGGTGCTAAGAACATCAGGGTTTGGTTTGGGGTTTAAAACACCACGCAAGGCCACCTTTTGACAGTCCCAAGGCTATTACAGGGTGCGTCATCTGAGGAGGAGGCATGTGGTCCTCCCCCAACCCACGACAGTGGCATTTCCTCTCTTCGGTGTGTTTTTCTTGCCACCAGAATACACTAAGCCCTAGGCCACTGTTTGCACAATTCGAGGGGTTCTGCGCGCTTGCCACATAGAAGGGACGGGACTGCATCGGCCGGAGTTGAGCAAAGCGCCGGCTCCGTCCAAGCGCTTGCCTGGCTGCTCCTGTGTTGGCGCCATCTCTTAAATCCTGCCTCACTGTCACCTCTAAACCAGCCCCCCTGTTGTGTTCTACTGCAGTATCTTATTTTTGGATTCTTTATGGCACTTATCATCACCTGGATCACTACATAGTTTTTTGTATATTGTCCTCCTCCGCTCCAATGAAATATCAACTCCACGTTTGGATAGTTGGTGCCTTGAACAGCATCTGGCACAATGTAGGCAGGCACCTGTAAGGACTTGAGGAGTGAAGGTTTTTCCTACTCAGGTGGCGATTGGTTGTGGAGAGTTGATAGGCAAGGGCACAGACCAACCAGCATGCCCCTGCGTGGCTGCCCGGCCCAGCCGTGGTTCCTGGCCATGCGAGGAAGTACAGAAGTACAGAGAGCAATAGAAATGAGTTTTTATTTGTAAAAAGTTACAAAATGATATTGTACAAAAATAAAGTCTGTAGAGAACTTTGGTTGAATAACACAAACGACCAAGACAGATCAGAGAAGTCAGAACTTCCAAAGAAGGGCACTCCTTACTGGATCAGGGGTAATCGCAACGATAAAGAAAAATCACAGACTTTACCCTTTTGTGGATCTGATGGAGCGACTTGTCTTAGTAAGACCTGCCTGTGGTGCGCAGGTGTTGCTGGGAACAAGTTGTCAACACCCACGGAATCCTACAACCCTTCTGGGCGGGGACTCTCCATGGGGAGTTGGGGGCTGACCGAGTTGACACCTGGGGACACCAGCCACCAAACCTGCCAAGACTGTCTGAATTGGACAGGTGATCCTGGGGCGACATCAAATTGTGCTACCCGAATGACCAGAAGGCCGGGTCTGCCACTATGCTGAGCAGGCTCCTCCTCGGCGAGGTTCCCCCTACTTCTGGCCCAGGAGGCGGGAGGGGAGGCCCTTTTATTCTATTTCCAAGCCGAGCAAGGAGAGCAGAAAGGGTGGGGAGGGGCAGAGTGATAGAGAACTGCGGTGTTTGGGGGCTGGGGGGAGGAGATGCCTGGTGACTGCCTCTCAGTCAAATTAACACGATGATTTGAGGGAGGCCAGTAAGGTCTTTTAAAGGCTAAACCTGTCATGTGTTAGGACTAATAACCACTAAGGCCCAACAGGCTCTCTGGTTGTGGCCAGTGCATTGCGCAGGGGTCAGCCGCCGGGCACACCCACGATCTGGGGCACTTGGGAGGGGCTCCCCCTCCACCCCCGCTGCAAAGACGCTCATCATAAAGCTGGCACGAGGCTTGGCGAGTGGCCAGGCCAGACACAGTCTTCCTCACCCGCCCTTCTGGGCTGCCTTCGTCCAAAGGAGGGATCGGTGTACAGGGGCAGCAACTATGGCCCTGAGAAGACAGCCAGGGGGCCTTCACGGCCACCAGCAGACCCCAGTTCAAGCGGCAGCGCGCTGCTTGGCTGCACTGGGCACTGGCACGTGTCTCAGGACAGTGGGGAGGGCGGAGGAAGGGTCTCTGCTCAGTGCGGAGCTCTAGCCACCCGGACAGACTTCTATGTGTAGGTCAACATCAGATCCAGAATTTCCTACTACAAGGAATTAACATTTCATATGTATGGTTATGCATATCAAAGACACAGTGGTGGAGGGGTAAGAGCTTAAATACAACAGGAAGCGGAGCATATGGCATTTCTGTTCAGAGCTGGAGCAATGAAGAAATAAAGTCAAGTGCCAACGGTCTCTGCACACTGCTCCCAAAAAGGACACTCAGACACGGTCCTTTGGACACATTTCTTTTGCAAAAAAAGAAAAACAGGGGAGATGCTGAAATCTGAGGAAAGTAACGAGGGCTTTTCTTAAAAAGGTAAAGTAAGTGATTTTTGCCTAGTGAAAAACGTTTTAATACTTTGAAAAGCATGGACCCTTGTTCCCAATTAAAATTTCCTTTGTCACCCTTCTTTGTATTTTGCGAGCACATACACTTTGGCACCTTTGAAGAGAAACTTAAATAAATAAGGGAAGAAAAAGAAAATCATTAGTGAACGGTAATAAATAACAATAACTTAAATCTCAATAAATATCTTCTCTATATTTCTGTATCTGAAATGGATGCATTGCATCGAGTAGCTTCTCTGGTCACTGGTGACCACGCATAAATGGAGCTGGGGTGTATGTAACATCTGTCTCTCTGTAAACCGACAGGCCAGTGGGTCTCCTTGCCCCGGTGAACAGGGGGGCCTTCCCCATTTGCTCTCCTGCAAGAATGCTGCCGAAAACCACAACTGGTTTCCTGTTTCCAGGGCCAGAAATGAAGTACCTTCAGGTTGGTTTTGAGTCATGAGGACGGCCTTTTTGGTTCCTAGCCAACTCTTTTCCACCCCACACACCAAGTTCAAAATGAATCACCAGCCATTCACAACACGCTGGGTGTAGTAAACCTCAGGCCTCCACTTTCAGATTCCAAGGTTACTGTCTCTTGTGTCTTTGTTTTTTTTCTCCCCTTCTTTCCGGGGTATGTCTCTGCTGAGTGACAGAAAAATAAACCTTTCTTGCTTTCAACAGTAAAATGTAACGACAAGGAACGACACCAGGATTACGTTTCCCCGGTGTCTCCAGACTTGTGAAAACAAACCACAGGAGACACACTGGTTTGGTTTCAAGTGCATCCGCAACTGTGCCCGCGGCCGGTAGCGGCGGCCGGTGTACTGGGTCAGGTGAAATGATGGCAACACCCACCCAGGGACACCAGCCCTGGGCTTCTGGTGGCACTGGCTGCCGTCCGGGAGAATCCAGACGGCCGTTTCCTCTCTCTCCTGTCCAGTCTTCTGCAGCTGGGTCTTTCTGTACCAGGCTCCCCCAACGGCTGCCTTCCTCCTCCTCCTCCTCCTCCTCCTCCACCTCTGCCTTGGTCCTCATCTTCCATCTGGGCGAACATCTCCTGGGAACCTTGGTCCCTTCTGTGCACTGTAGCAGGAATGCGATACACAGCGGTCTCTGGAGCCGGAGTCAGACACATCCACACCTTTTAGCGGAATGCTTTCTTAGGACATGGTAAACCAGGCTGTCGTCCAAAAACGACAGGTCGTCATCGAAGGCGACGGGTCTGCAACAGGCCTGCCCTACTTTGTCACTCACCAGCCTTCTATTTTTGGATAAGTTTTTTAATATTTTGTCGTACATCGTCTCGGCGGCCTCGCAGGAGCCGCTGCAGTACCGAAAAATCAGCTCCTCCTTGGTTTCGTAGCCCAAACCCAAGTCGGTGACATTCAAGTGGACAGCAGTGAGGACACAACCCCGGTTTCTGCCCCTCTGTCCGCGCCGGCCCTTCCCCCTGGAGTTCTCCGGCGTGGCGGCTGCGGCCTGCCGGTTTCGCTCTCTTCTGGGAAACACAGCCATTTGTTTGTCCGGTGTCCTTTTCAGTCTTTTAATGGTGGCTTGAATAAAATCCATGACGTCATCAAATTGATCAGGATAATCTTCTGGCATATTTGCTATTCGAGAAGAAAAGAAAAAACAGAAAACGTGAGGGAAGAACAAGGACCCTTTCGAGCCGTCTTCTACATTCAAGTGCCCCCCAAAGTCGGCCACGGCGGGACCCACAGCAAAACGGGGGCCCGTCCTGCTAAGTGACCACGGTTGTCCCCCAAGAACAGAGACTAATGTGCGCCCCAGCGCGGAGACTCCGCAGAAGGAAAATGACTGAGTTGAAAGGGGAGACGGGCGTGGCGGGCGACACACTTCCTCACAGGAAAACAAACGCTCAGGGGCGGGGCCTTCACCTGTAGAACAGTGTCGGTTTTAATGAGACTGTACTGAGGTTGCCGTGAGCTGGCTGATCCTCCATGGCCAGTCTCCTCGTCTGAAAACTGAGCCTAGAGCAGAGGATCGTGAGCAAAGCAGACGAGCTGGGTGCTCACCAACACCCAGAGTCTGACCTCTGGGGGTGGGTGCAGGGAGGCCGACGAGCCCTCGGGAGTTCTGGTGAAGGTGACCCACGGACTGTCCTTTGGGAATCCTGACAGAAGGATTATCTCGGATGGGGAATCATCCAGCCCCGCTGCTACCGAGTGCCCTTCCCTGAAATCCACCCCGATTAACAGCCCTGCACGGGTCGGGGACCAGGAGCATTAGGACAGAACCAATGAAAAGCTCATAAATGCAACTGTATTTTAAAACTTCCTCAGAAAACAGTACGAGGCTGAAAAACTACCAGCTTGTCACTCACAAAGATGTGCCACCTCCTTGGAACAGCGGGAGATTTAAAAATATGGTAACACAGAAAGAGGACAATTAAAAGGTTTCACAGCACTGAGTGGAACGAGTCGTGGTTTGGGGGTAGACAAAGCGTGACCCCGGGGCGGCGTCCAGCCCTGCTGCGGGCTGCCACACACCTCCCCCGCCCTGGGTTGCAGGCAGGACAGGGCCTGCCCTTTAGGCACATCGCAGGGCAGAATGACGAGGCCCCTGCTGTGACGTTTGGGACCTCCGGGGGGAGGCGGGGGTCAGCTGCCTCTTGGGGTTTCTGCTGCGTTCCCGCCCTCGCTTTGGCTGATCAAGAAAAGAGGAGCCGTTTGAACAATTTAATACATTTCTCAAAGAGGGAAACCATTCAAATGCCAGTTTATTAGGTGCTGGATGTTTTCTGCTCCCCTCATCCCATTTTCAGGTAATTTAGTCCGTTCAGGATGACACATGGCTTAGAGAAATATACCACAAAAGAGTTGTTAGCTAGAGCCGGTGTTTTTGGCCAAGACCACGTTAGAGCAGAGGAGGGTTACACGGTGCCCAACCCACATCAAATGGTTTGGCCATGGACCGATGGCTATAAAAGATCTCAGGTATCCTATTGTGTAAAACGAACTCCAGCTAACGTGACTGAACCACATCCATCCATCTATCCATCTAGACAGAGCACATAGAAGATGGATGACCTCTAGTAATGGGCAGAGTGGGGATCGCGTGAAATCCCAGGGCACCTCGGCGCCCAAGGTCTAAATTTTGGAGCCGCTTCCCCCGCAGCCCCGCCCCATCACCTCCTGCCCGGGGAACTCCCTCATCCCGGTTTCACCCTCCTCAGTCCGCATCCCACCCGCAGCCAGCGCGGCGCTCCTACAGCTGGTCGCGCACTCACGCCCTCTGCTCCAGAGCCTCCAGCGGCCCCGACATTTCTCTTGGGAGCAAAGCTGAAGTCCCCAAGGGTCTAAGGCCCCGCCTGGCCTGCCACGGCCCATCCCCCAGCCTCTGCTACCTCTGACCTCACCTTCTCCTCACTGCTCCTCCCACGCAGGGCCTCCCGACCTCGGCACTCGTGGCGTTTTGGGCCAGACCCTTCACTCTCTGCTGTGGGAGGCCGCCCAGTGCATTGCAGGACAACGGGCCGCCTCTCTGGCCTCTCCCCAAGAGACGCCGGCCCCTCCGGAGGGGCAAACCACAGCGCCTCCAGACACTGCCAAATGTCCCCTGAGGACAAAACGTTGTGGGCTGCGAACCACAGGTCAGACCCAGGCGAGGACGCAGGGGCTGCCTTCTTCCCGCTTGGAACACTGTTCCTCGGAGCATCCAGTGGCTGACTTCCCATGTCCCCCCCAAGTCCCGCTCCAATGTCCCCACCACCGAGGCCCACCCCGACCTCCCTTATTTCGAAGGCAATCCCTCTCCAAGCCCAAACCCGGACTCCCCTGCCCTCCCAATGCTCGCTGCCCCCGGCCTGTGCTATGTACGGCTCATGCCTCGGGTTTGCGGTTTCTTGCCTGGCTTCTCCGAGAAAACGTGACCTTGGGGACACAGGGCGGGAGGCCTGGCTTGCTCACTGGCGGATCCCAGGGGCTTAAACAGGGTCTGGTCCCCGGAGGCCCTTGGTAGGTTTTGAATGAATTAGTTCACAGGAAGAGGGGGAAAGAAAGAGTCCTTGAACTTCGGCCATGAGCAACCCCGCGATGAAACGAAAGGCTCCCAAATACACAGCCCACATCTCGCGGGTGGTACAGTCATTTTCTCCCCGAGAGCTGAGCTGAATTGCCGTCTCCAAGCCGGCCGTCCCTGCCAGGCCCCCTCCTGTGGCTTCGGGGGCCCCCTCAGGCCCACCCCATCCTGCGTGCACCGAGGGGGCGCCTGCCCGGGGAGTCACCTGTCCCCGCTGCGGGGTGGACCCAAGGGTGGGAGCGTGCTCCGGCTGTGTCACTTCCCCTAAGCACGCTCTAGATGGACTTCCTCAGGAAGTTTTCTTCTTTCTTAAAATAAAACAAAACTTTAAATCACTCTGATTTAAAGAAATGAATTACTTTGAAAAATGAGCTGCTTATGCTATTCGTCGTTTTTTTCAGTAATAAGCTATAAAAGGGGAAATTAGGTGTGCTCAGTTTGAAAAATCCATGCTTGAACTCCTAAAACTGAGATATTAGAGGTGATTAATCAAAATACAAGAAAAGTCTTCCAATTCCAAAAGAAAGGCTCTTTGTTTTACTAAAGGACTCACACAGTTGGGGTTCCTGGGAGTCGTTTAAGAATTCCTGAATAGATCATTAACTTAAAAACCTGAGAACATAGAAAGCTAAAATCGATTAAGAATCAACTGAAGATTAATCATAAACGAGGATGAAACATTACTAAAATTTTAACATAAACTAATGGGAACACATTTGAGCTATAAAAGTTCAACTTACACTGTTTTACAGACTCATTACTTTATAGAACATGATAAATTACATAATTTAATGTGACTAGAGTTATAATAATGATTTGAATCAGCATTTATAATGTTCTTATTTATTACCCTATACTTTCGAAGTTCCTGAAAAACATGCTCCCTCCTTTTAAAGACATTTTGACTGCATAGCTCTGTCCTCTGGCTTTCCTTACCAGATGAAACACAGAACACTTAGTTAAACTTGAATTTCAGATAGTGAATACATTCTTAGTATAAGCAGTCCTCCATAATGTTTGGGACATACTTGTACTTCGTTATGAGAATGTTGAGTCCCTTTTTCTTACTTTAAATTCCTCTTGGCCTTCTCAGGGTGATGCAGCGTGGCTGCAACAGCCACTTAGGCTTTTGAGAGATGTGATGAACACATCATTGACCCTGAAGTGAAAGACTCCCTGGCACCTGGGAAGCGGTCAATAAACGTTCAATGTGTTAAACTGAAGGGTATAGTTAATGAGAACTGCTCCTTTTGATGAGAAAACCTCCTTCATACCTTGTTGTTAATGTGGGCATATTTATTTAAGCCCTCAGTTCAGGCCATAGAAAATTCTTATTGAGCTGAAGGGTTTCCTTCCTCTCCTTTTTTCTTATTGAAAAAATAGAGCAAAAAAGCAAATATAAATATTTATACTGAAAGTTTTACATGGATATAACTTTTGGAGACCAGAAAAGGCCACATTATATTTTCCAAACCACAGAGCAAATGGTCCTGTCCCTTCCAACTAAATTCCTCATTCTGGGCCTTTTGATGAGGACTGAGTTCCTTCGTAGAGAGTCTCAATTTCTCAACACTAGGCTTTGGGGGCGGCAGGAGCCGTGCACCTCACTGAGCCGAGCCTCAGAAACTGCAGAGGCCTTGAACCTGGCCCAGGCAGGTCAACTCCCTGTGACGAACCAAGAAGCCCGAAGTTGCCTCAATCTCCCAGGAATTCACCGAGCCGAGGGGAAGAAAGGTGTTTGGGTTTGGATTCGTTCCCTAAAGTAAGATTTAATGTCATACCACTTTGTTCTTCATCCTATAAAGAGCTTGGCAGAATGTCAGCTACACAAACGGCCCTCATTAGTATTAACTTTGATAGGAAAATCCTTGCCAACCACAAAAGAGGACCATCCTTGGTTTTTAAAGGTTTGCTCACTTCCCAGACCAACTTGGAAGAGAGATCTTGGTTGGGAAAAGCCCTTCCACCTAAAAGCTCAAGTCTGTGAAAAACCGAAATAGCCAAATGCATTTAAGTCCTCTCTCAGTTTGCAACCAAATATTTTGGCATTATTCTATTTAAAGAATTTTAACTTTGATGTGCCCTTTGTATAAACAGTCGCATTTAAACAAGGGCAGCCTTGTGCCGGGGCAGGACTCTCGGAACAAGCCGTTCACTGCAGACGCTCTGCCTCGCTTGATTATGGGGAAAAAAGTACGTCACCTCAGGAACAAAGGGCTGGGGTATTGACTGGTTTGTAAAGCCGACTTTTTATAGGAACAATGGCAACGCCCCCGAGTACTCCCTGTAACTGCGGACTGAAAGGTGCGCCATTCCAGACGTTCCCTTGGTGAGGCTGACAATCGCTGCATAGTCTCCTAAATGTTCTATTTCTTTTCAACCCAGGACAGGTTAACTACACTGTCATCAAAGCGGTCATTTTTCAGTTGCACGGAGCGGCCCCCTCCTCACCCTGGCTGGGCTGGGGGCTAAGCCGGCCTGCAGCCTGTCTCTGAGCTGTGGGCCCGCGAGGGAGGCAGCATAGGTTCATCTACAAGGCCGCAAGGAGATGGCCCCTTTCCAGAGGAGA